CTTCTATTTGTGGGGAGTTTTCTGATTTAGGGGAGGGGCCTGCAAACGCACTCACCAATTTCCGTGTGTGTTTATTTACGCGAGCTCATGCCTGGACACAAAGGGAGAGATGGGGCTTGTTTTTGACCTCACATCGGTTTTGGGAGGGTCTCAGAAGCCGCTATGGCTAACAGTTAACCGGCGACTTCCCCCAGCCTCAGCTCTGGGTTGCAGCCATGACCTGAAATGCTGCCCGTTGTCCACAAACGTGAGCCAAGCCAAGAGGATTTCCGTTTCCACCCAACCTTGCCAGCTTCATCCCCCCCCCCTCCTTTTCTTGTTACGCTGATGGCAGCTTTTATCTCTGTCCTTTGTCCCCGACATCCAGATATCGATTGGCACGGTTAAGAAGAACTGATAATTGCCTCAAATTAATCCCGTAAACTCCTTTAGATATGTTTTGCATAATAGATCTCAAAAGCGGCATCTAGACAAGGATAAGCCTCCCAGTCGCTGGCCCGGGTGCCATGTGGGGGTGGGGTGGGGGTGTTACATGTACACATGCGGAAACCAGCGCCTTTCTCACCTAAGAGATTTCCTTAGGCGGGTGCTTCTTTGGGGGAGGGGGTGCCCCACTGCATAGCAAGAGGCAGGAAGGTTGTGGCTGAAATGCCTTTGGAAGGCCTGACGTGTCCTGCGAAAAACCCGGTCTGTGGAAGTCCAGCGATAAGAGCAGCTGACTCAAAGTCCACCTTTGTCTGCGCGGCGCCTTGTGAAAATCCAGGGCCAGATGCCCGTCCACAGCTCCTCCACCTAATGACTTTTCTGTCATAAACTTTATCTGATTAAGCAAAGCGCTGGGCTAGAGATTAGCCCCCCTCCCCCATCCACTCCGGGGAGGGGGTTCATTGGAGTAGGTCTGCAGCGCCTCTGGCCCGAGCTGGGGAGGGATGTGATGCTGGGGGGGGGGGACATCTACTTAAAGGGAGATGACTGCTAGACAGTCAGTCAGATAGTGCACTGCTCCGGTGGCACCAACAGTTAGAGGTCAGGGCATCCTCTGCTGAACCGGAGTGGATGGTCATGTGTTGCAGCTTGCCAATGCACAGAACGAGGCCATTGGTCATGTGAGTATAAGAGTCTCCATGTGGCATCTCCTTGGCATGACTCTTGATCACTGTACGAGTTCCTTTGTGTTCCTAGGAATGTTTGGAGGCCAGGCCAAATCAGGGAAGGGAGGAGGGGTTGAAACCTTCGCTGTTGGGCCTCCCTCAAGGTGACAATTCAACAGTTTATTTCGGCATTCTAATAGTTCTGAGCGCCAGATTGCAGAGAGCGTAGCAAAAAGGGGGTCGGCCATGTTAGGCTTTTGGGTCCATCCAAATGAAAACGAGACTTGGTCTAGTCTTAAAAGTTCCTTAATGGAGCAGATGGGGCGCCCTGCTAGTCCAGAAACACTCTGCTCAAAATGGGGTGGTTTTTCATTGCCTTCTGCTGATGCTGGACAAGGCCGTCAGCGCGGTAGCCTCTTTGTGGGCTGCCCAGTGGCACATGGCTGGCTGATGCTGCAAACAGTGCAGACCTTTTTGGTCTGATCCAGCATAGCACCTCTTGCCCGAAGGAAGAAAGCAGCATGGGTTAACCTAGGACTGTCTTGAAGCCTGAGAGGCAATCAGGGATCTGCCATTTTTAGAGAGCTCAGTGGGATCCTGTGTTGTTTCTTTCTTGGAATAGGCTGTGGACGCTTGATTTATGGGCAGACGTGTAAGTCTGGAGGTTCCATTTTAGGACTTGAATGGGAGGCCACTAAGGAAGTCCAGGGTCACTGTGCAAAGCCAGGCAAACCACCTCTGTTTGTCTCTGCCCTGACCTGGATGGCCCAGGCTAGCCCAATACTCATCCGATTTTGGAAGCTAAGCAGGGTCAGGCCTGGTTAGTACTTGGGTGGGAGACCACCAAGGAAGTCCAGGGTCACTATGCAGAGCCAAGCAACGACAAATCATGTCTGTTGATATCTTGGCTTGAAAACCCTGTGGGAGTCACCAGAAGTCAACTGCAAACTGATGGCACTTCCTACCACCGTGGGCACCAGCCAATCCTTCAGGGCAATCCGCTTAAAAGACAGAAGATGGAAGAAGGTACTCCCCCATTGCAGTTGGCAGGAGCACATTGTTGGAAGGAAAAAAAAGATCTTATCACCATCGGGAACTACGACTATGGTGTAGACCGAAATGTCTATATTACAGCAAAAATAATACAGTGAAAATTCGGTAAAGGTGAATGCTTGACAGCCCCTGGCGAGTTCTGTGAAGAAGACCTGAAAATAGATGGTGTTGATATTATTGTCTGGCACTTTCTCCAAGTAGCTAAAGACGGTGCACGTAATTCTCCCATTTCCCATTTTATCTTCTCAACAATCCTTGTGGGGCAGCTTAGACTGGTGGACAATGTTCCCTCTAAGCTGTGGAGTCTTGTGAGCAAAAATTCTACTTTGGAAGCTACTGGCGTTAAAGTTGTGAGTGAGCAATTTGGCTACTGCATACATTAGTTTGCTCTGGAGCCATCCTTCCTGAGCTAAGGCAAAAATGTGTGAGCTGGAGGCTAAAAAAACTGTGAGCTTGCTCACACTAACTTGCTTAGAGGGAACACTTCTGGTGGAAGGTCCCCTAGTGACCTTCATGGCCAAGTGTGGATTTGAACCCGAGTTTCCTAATCTGACATTTCTCTCCACTATACCACTGGCTGTCCATCTAGCATGTCTCCACTTTCTTTACCTCTGGCTGTCGTTACTTCCGTTTAGGTGACTGTCAATGTTGACTTAGACCCGTCTTAGAATTTTCGGGCAAAATTCATCTATCATTGCCAAAGTTCCCATTTGAGTGTAGCCATTCACCCAGTTTTCTTTGTGGGTGCTCTTTACGTCTGTTGTCTTCGTTCATTTATTTCTGTTTGTTTGTGAAAGTGATTTTTAAAATGTGCGGTGCAGGAGGAGGAGAAGAGACGAAGAAGTACCCAGGCAGTATTCGGGTGTGTGTGGGGGTGCCGGGCCATTTGTCCAGCTGTGTTGATAGGGCATGCGGGTGAACCTTTTTAAGTTTAGGGATTCCTCTTGACACAGGAGCAATAAAAACGAGATTGGCGTAGCTCAGAAATAGCGTTGTAAGCTGATCCAAACGACTCTGAAGAGTGGGATATAAATGTTTTTAATAGGTGAATGAAACTTGCTGTGGAGGCTTCTTGGCCCAGGAGATATTCTCTTAAAGGCCCATGGTGGAAAAGGTTGTGACCTGGGGGAGGAGATGTCCTCCACAGCCCTTGGGAGCCTCCTAGAATGACCCCGGGCGCTGTGCTTTAGCTAGATGTCTCCCTCCCAGTGTTTCCTGTCTGTCTTGTGAAAAATGTTCTATAAAGCCGGGATGTTGTCTGAGCTGGGTTGAGGGCAGAATGCCTTATGTACCCCTTGGGTATATTGGAATATCAGGCTGAAGACAGGCAGGAATTTGTAAGTGGTGCATACAGTCTTAAAGATGCTTCACTTTTCTTGAGGTTTCTATTGTCTCATAGTCACTTCTGGTCAAACAGGGTGTGCTGGTTTTTAGGGAAAAATACAAAAACCTAAACAGCCTGTTTACTGGTGGTGGAAGTCAGGCAGTCCAAGATTTTATTGCTGCCACCTCACCCCAATTATCTTCTAAAGTTCTAGAACAGAATAATAAAATGGCAGCTCACGGAGACAGATTGAGATGGGTAGCTGTGTTAGCCTGTCTGTAGCAGTAAAAAAGAGCAAGAGTCCAGGAGGACCTGAAAGACGAACAAAATTTGCGGCAGGGGAGGAGCTTTGGTGAGTCATACTCTTGCCCTTTTCTACCGGCAGCTTGTGGTTTGTGTTGCAAATGGCCGCAGTTCTCTGAAATACCCTCAGAGACTTGGAAGCGTATGGAAGCGTGCCCACTCCGGAAAAAATGGCAATGTTGGGCATTTGCCAGGGTACCGAGACAAGCAAAACGCTTCAGTTGTCATGCCTGTCAATTGCCTGGTCTGGCACATCATCAGCTTGACGGCTGTCAAATATTCTGTGACGCCCCCAATGCCAGTGTGTGATTGTCTTCTTCTTCTGTCACTTATTAATATGATCAGGGTTGCTTGGTCCCTACTCCTGTACCGGTCGGGGTCAGACCTAGCCCCATCCCAAACTTTCCCCTTCCTGGCTATCAGCGGTCACTGCAGGCCTCTCCAAACAGGAACCAGGATGCAGGCAGTGATCAGTGGTCCTGTTAAACTGTTTCATAACAACAGGCAGTGACTTCCATTTTGTAATTAGCACAAATATCTAACCTGCTGCTGTTCAGAGAGTCTTTTAATGCTTTAACAGTACTTAACTGAGAAACTGACCAAATCTTTATCAGTTGGTGAAATACCCAAACTCTCTGTCACCCCACAGTAGTGCCTCATTATACTGAATCAGACCCTCGGTGCATCAAGGTCTGTATTGTCTACTCAGACTGGCAGTGGCTCTCCAGGGTCTCAGGTGGAGGTCTTCCTCATCACCCGCTGCCTGGTCCTTTTTTACTGGAGAGTACGGGGAGTGAACCTGGGACTTTCTGCATGCCGAGTAGATGCTGTGCTGCTGATACGTGGCCCCTTCCCTACAAAATGGCCTGTCTTCTTGCTTTGCACAGAACATCCAAGAAGGCTTGAGACCTTCCTGAAGAGGACTTTTACACATAGTCCACTTCTGTGCTAAGAGATCTTCACTGAAAGTGCCATGGTAGCATTTCCTCCCTAGCCCTTATCCTCAGGCTGACACCGTTCCAGATACTAGTTTCTTGGCCCCATGGTCTTTTGTCTCTCCTGTCCTTTGAAAGCGTTTTTGAATGCATAGCGAGGGAGAGCGTTTATTTTTCATCCCTCTTGGTTTTCTGGGGGCAGCCTGAAGCCAACCTCCACACGAGCCCTGCCCCTCCTCCGGGGGCTACGTGGGGCTCCCGTTAAGTGAAGCCTTCTTCTCTTCTCTCTTGCAGCCGGGACAACGACCTGACTTCCTTCATCTCCAACCTGCACCAGAGTCGCCAGCTCGTTATGCCAGAGACCCAGAGCCGCTGCGAGTTCAAGAGAAGCAGCCTCGACGTCGGCTTGGGAGGAGCGGGTAAGCTCTGGTCGAGGCGGGGGAGGACCTGCTGTTCCCTCCTTGTGTGGGGGGCGGCCCCCCAAATGCATGGCTGTTCCATGAGATGTGGATGATGATGAAAAGTGCCATCGAGTTGCAGCCGACTCTTGGTGACCCCGTAGGGTTTTCAGGGCGACATTCAGAGGCAGTTTGCCATTGCCTGCTTCCGTGTCGTGACTGTGATATTCCTTGGTGGTCTCCCATTCAAGTGCCCGACCCTGCCTAGCTTCTGAGATCTGACGAGATCCAGCCAGCCCGGGCTATCCAGGTCAGGGGCTTTGCTTCACTGTGGCCCAGTTGCGTCAGGCTTATCCTTGATTTTTATCAGAGGCTTTCCAGCAGCCTCTGTGTTAAAACGGGCTCCATCGGAGGAGCAAAATGGTGTGGGGGGGTTAAGTGGGCAGTGAAGCCGAAAGGCCTTGGTGGGGGTTTGTAATTGCATTAATCGGAACCGTGTCGCGGTGTCTCAGTCCCTGGCAGCTCCCTTGCTCGGGTGGCTCGCTCAGCTTTATATTGCGGTCTGACCTTTCCGGAGCTTAGCGGGCCTCCTTCTCCTCTTGCTGCAGAAGCAGAGAGAGGGAGAGAAATTGAAAGGTGGGCCAGGCTGCCTCGCACAGTGCTCTTTGACAGTGTCTGTGGGTCGTGACATCTACGGGGCGACAGCGCATCTATCAACGAGCGCAGCTCTGCGAAGATGGGCCCATTCTCAGCTCTTTTTCTTTTCACACGCAGCCAATGAGCTGGTTCCGCTGTGTAAGGAGCCCTTGGGGAAAGCACCCAGATGAATGGGAAGTGACACACAGGCACTGACGGTGGGGGGAAATCTGCCCTCCCGAGGAGGACAGGCGCTCCCCTGCCGTAGACGCGGCTCTCGGGTTTCTGCACAGTTGCTTGACCGAAATCCGAGGGAGTTTTCAAGCTGGGTGAAAACACTCAGACCCAGTACAGCATCCTGTGGCTTTTCGGTTCTCCCACGGCACTAGTACAGGGGGTCCCCAGCGTGGTCACGCCCATGGGCACCGTAGTGCCCACTGACCCCTCGCGTCAGGCTCTCCAAGGGTTTTTAGAAAGTGGGCGGGGCCAGGTGTGGCTTTTGCCCAGCAGGGCTCCTGATGGTCCCTCGGAGACCTGCTTAGCTGTGAGGATTTTATAAAGACCTGTTTCGGCAGGAGCTGCCACCACGACACTGGGGTCTCCCTGGGTGACCGAAGGTAACCCCTGTGTATGCCAGGAGATATTTTTAAATAATAGAAGAGAAGAAGAAGAGGAGATTAGATTTATACCCCACCCTTCACTTTGAGTCTCAGGGCGGCATACAATTTCCTTTCCCTTCCCCTCCCCACAACAGACACCCTGTGAGCAATGCTCCCTCTAAGCTGTGGAGTCTTGTGAGCGAAAATTCTACTTTGTGAGCTACTGGCATTAAAGTTGTGAGCGAGCGATTTGGCTGCTGCATAAATTAGTTTGCTCTAGAGCCCTCCTTCTTGAGCTAAGACAAAAATGTGTGAGTCGGAGGCTGAAAAACTGTGAGCTAGCTCACACCAACTCAGCTTAGAGGCAACACTGCCTGTGAGGTAGGTGGGGCTGAGAGAACTCTTTCCAGAACTGCCCTTGAGAGAACAGCTCTGACACGGAACTATGGCTTGCCCAAGGTCATCCAGCAGCTTCAAGTGGAGGAGTGGGGAATCAAACCCGGTTCTCCCAGATTAGAGTCCGCTCACTTAACCACTACACCAGACTACAGCAATATGTTGGTTTTAAAAGGCATCTCGTGAAACAGAGCTTCTGCCTGAAATGTTGAAGAGTTTCTGACCCGGCTTCCTAATATTTCGTAGTTTTGTGGGTTTGCCCACCACCCTGCGTCAGAATTCCAAAGGTGTCTGCTGGCTCGAGAAGGCTGGGGCCCCCCACTGTAGGATGTCCTTGCAGAACTTTCAGGCTACAGCATAGCAGTTGAGCCTGCATGCTCCCATCCCTTTCACTTGAAAGGGAACTGTGTGCTGCTCATAGCTACGTGCAGAATGGCTGCCTTGACATGCATAATATTTTACAGCTGTTATCAGATGCTGACAAAGCTCGGCAGGAGAAACACACACAGCACTTATAAATTGCAAACAGCAAACCCCCTCGGCTCGGCAAGGCCAGCTCTCATAAGGACATAAGGAGACACACACACCCAGCTCGAAGAGACCAGTGGTCCATCTAGGCCAGCATCCTGTCTCACACAGTGGACAACCAGTTCCTCTGGAAGTCCAGCAACAACAGGGCATAGAGGCTGAGTCCTTCATAAGAACATCAGAAGAGCCCTGGTGGATCAGACCAGTGGTCCATCTGGTTCAGCATCTGTCTCCCACAGTGGCCACCCTATTCCTCTGGAAGTCCAACCACAGGGCACAGAGGCCGAGGCCTTCCTAAGAACACCAGAAGAGCCCTGCTGGATCAGACCAGTGGTCCATCTCGTTCAGCATCCTGTCTGACACAGTGGCCGACCAGTGGCCGACCAGTAACTCTTGAGGTCCAACAACAGGGCACAGAGGCCGAGGCCTTCCTAAGAACACCAGAAGAGCCTTGCTGGATCAGACCAGTGGTCCATCTCGTTCAGCATCCTGTCTGATACAGTGCCCGACCAGTTACTCTTGAGGTCCAACAACGGGGCACAGAGGCCGAGGCCTTCCTAAGAACACCAGAAGAGCCTTGCTGGATCAGACCAGTGGTCCATCTCGTTCAGCATCCTGTGTGACACAGTGGCTGACCAGTTACTCTTATGGTTCAACAACAGGGCATAGAGGCCGAAACCTTCCTCCTATCTTGCCTCCTGGCACTGGTATTCAACGGTTGACTGCCTCTGAATGTGGAGGCTCCCTTTAGTTGTTTCCACTCATTCTACGTTCACGGCTCCAGGAATCTTAGAGGGTGGGTGGGATGGCATAACATACCCAGCCAGGCTTTAGATGCACACTACTTTATTCTGGGCCAGTTTTTCAAACCCCTTTCTCCCCCTGTTTAACTTGTTTATTCTGGGCCAGTTTAACTAAACCCTGGTTGTCTGCATACGCTCTTCGTGACGCAGCAGTAGCCAGCAGTTCACATGGGTTTGTGAAAAGGTTAATGGCTTTGGGGTATGTCCGACCTAGATACAGCTACCAGCCATGGTAGTTAAATAGAACCTTCCTGCACAGGAGCAGTCTACCTGTGAACGCCAGAGGATTTGCTGCCTGGGAACGTCTCCAGGGGTATCTGGGTGGCTGCTGTCAAAAACCAATCGGTTGCGAGATGGATCACATGATCTGATCTTCCGAAGTTATTCTCATGGGCTGTCTGACCTGCGTGGTGTAATGGATAAATGGGACCAGAGTCTTCAGGGGCTTTCTACCCACAGCTTCATGGGCCTGCGTCTACACTGACATGGCATTAGCAGTCCTTTTCTGCCCTAGTTCAGCCACCAGTAGCGCAGAACACTTTCCCGTTTGATGTTTTTTGGTATCGTTAACCCGAGCCTACCCCAAAGTCTAAACACACACAGACAGAGGGTTCAAACGCGAAAAGCTAGCAGTTGTCACTTGTGTTTTCAGGGGCAGGTGACCCCCAACGAGTCAGGTACAACTTGGCCTTTTGCCTCACCGGCACACGCAAGCAAGGAGGCCGAAGGGCAGGCGCTGATAAAATCTAATTGCCCCATCGATCGCGTTCGTAGCTGCTGTGGGTTGCCGCTTAATGATTGAGATATTCGTAATGCGTTTGATGCAACGCTAGCTATATCTCGCCTGGCCCGGCCCACTGGGGACCATAAGGTATTACCGGGATCTCTTAATCATGGAGCAGGGCTGCGTGTGCTGGCCCGCTCTCTCTGCCCGGCACCGAAAGATTTATTATAATTATTGCTGGAGCTCTGCTTGGCTTTCTACAAGAACACAGCGATAGCATTGCGCCTTGTGTTTTGGGGAAGGAGCGGCGCTGTCACGCTCTTGCAAACCTGCTCTTGTGGATGAAATCCATTCGGGGGGGTGGATGTACAATCCCTTCCCCAGCTCAGTTTTTTTCAGTAGCTCCAGAGAGCCAATTTGGTGTAGTGGTTAGGAGCGGCAGACTCTAATCTGGGAGAACCGGGTTTGATTCCCCAGTCCTCCACATGCAGTTGCTGGTGCGACCTTGGGTCAGTCACAAGTTGTTTCAGAGCTGTTCTCTCAAGAGCAGTCCCCGAAAGAGCTCTCTCAGCCCCATCTACCTCACAGGGTGTCTGTTGTGGGGAGGGGAAGAGAAAGGAGATTGTAAGCCGCTCTGAGATTCCTTCGGGTAGTGAAGAGTGGGGTATAAATCCAGTCTCCTCTTCTTCTTCAGGAGAGGGGCTGGCACGTGTTTTGTCCTTTCAAGCCGAGCATGCTTTCTACAAGTGATGTAAAGCAGTAGTTCTAGCTACTGAGAACTAAGCAGATTACTGTATAATGCACTTCAATGTACTTGAGTGCTGTTCAGTTAACGGTAATGCACAGTATGGTTGCTGCAGAGGTTTGAATGACTGTTGCTACTTGTTAAAAGAGGAGGTGTGAGGCTATCCTAATTCCAGGATGGAGCTTGTAATGTCTTCAGTGGATGTGTGGTCAAGGGGTAGAGCTTGCTGCCAAAAGCAGGCAGGGTGTTGCCAGCTGGCATCACCCCACCTATTGTCAGATGAACACCCATGAAGCTGCATTATCCTGACTCAGACCATGGGTCCATCATGGTCAGTATTGTCTACTCAGACTGGCAGCGGCTTCTCCGGGGTCTTAGGCAGAGCTCTTTCACATCACCCAATGTTTGATCCTTTTAATTTGAGATCCCGGGGATTGAACCTGGGACCTTCTGTGTGCAAAGCAGAGGCTCTTCTACTGAGCCGCAGCCTAAGGTCAGCTGAGGCTGTAGTGGGTGGAACTCTCTGCTAAAAGCAGGCATATCGACACAGTGCTAGGCTAAGCCTGGCCCACTTCTAGTAGAAATGGCAT